TTTTTTTTTTTTTTTATATATATGTGAACATGGTGAAAAGCTTTTTATTATTATTTTGAATGAGTTAAACAAATCATCTGCATTTATTTGTGGTTTCTACGCTCAAACCACAAATACCAAATAAGAAAAGCTTATTCCTCATTTGACCAAATATCTGTTTTTAATCTTTGTGCAAACATCAATCTCTGCTTCACCAAAAAAGTAAAAACAGGAGGAATCCATAAGAGGGGAAAGTTTTTTTTCACATCACTTTATATTTAAAAGAAAATCATGACATCAACAAATATAATCCTCAGTTCAGACACAAACACATACTTGTCCATGTTTGTTTTCTTGTTGAAGACATGTATGACCCCATCAACCATCTTACAGCCATATCCCGTGTCTGGTGGCATGTTCTTGGGGTCCTGATTGTCATAGGGGTGCGTTTCTGAGACGGGTGGGTGAACAGGGGCATCTGAGAGGAAAAAAGGTTCAAGAGTGAATTTGTTATTTGCGTGAAAAAATAAAGTATTGTGGAATTAAAATCCTCCACTCAAACTGACTCAGTATCTTTGTAGAGACACCATTACACAGTATTATTATTATTGCTCTCTGACTGTGAATGCATTTAAGAGCGGCAACACAAGTCCTTCACATCTAGTTATTAATGTGACTGTCATTTCAACAGGTTCGGTTCTTCAGTCAGAACTAAAGAACCAGTAGGAGAGATTTAGGATTAATAACAGTAATATACAGACACAATAATGTCTTGATGCCTTGTTATTGTAGTATTGAAAACCATATTTGGTAAACTGTTTATAATACAAGGCTCATTTAATCAACAACAAAATCAGCTTTTATAGGTGACCTCTTATGTAAATAAAACCATCAAACACCAACTTCTTTGGTAAAACTTTAATGTTTATTGGTGTCTGGAAAATTAGTCCTTTCAAATCTTACCTCACAAAATCACCAGGCACTGCCCCTCACCTAGCAACCATAACCCGTTTCCTAGCAACGCAAGCTGAGTTCCAGCACCATCTGTTTGAGTTGGGGGGCGTGGCCAGCAGCAGCTTATTAGGATTTAAAGTGACAGGAGGCCCTAAAACATCTCATTCTCACAGAGGCTCAAAATAGGCAGAACTGACCAGACTCAAATCTCATTATCTAAGAATGACTTTGTGCAAAAAATGTAGTGAAAATGTTTTGTATCGCCCATAGATTTATCCTAACCTGTTCAAGAAAGCACAATATGTCATATTTACATAAATAATTAGGCGAAGGAAATCACATTTGGTGAGCAGGAAGTGGGTGTGTGCACAGAGTACCTGCGTCCACAGGGCTCTCTGCTATGTCTTCATAAACTTCCAGATCCAGAGAGTTCGTCCCGAGGTCCTGCAGGGCGTGAGCTGCGGTCTTACAAAATGTCTGCATGGACCGGTAGATGTACTTCTCCCGGATTAACAATGCTTTAACCACACACTTGGCAGCATCAACCAGGTCAGTGAACGGCACCTGGACACACATCAAACACAAAAATAAAAAAATAATATGAATGCATTTTTGCTTTTGCACGAACGTTCGTTGTTGTATGCAATCCTGTGATTTGCGCTTCTTACCCCACATTTTTCGTCTCCAGATATCGAGACCCGCAGGTACTCCTTCTCTATCGGCATTCTCCGCTCCTTAAAGCCCGTGTCTACACTTTTCTCCTTCATTAATCTGACACGCACACAAAGAGCGTGGCTTAGCACAAAAAACAGACGTCAGGGAGACAAAAACCAGGTGGAAGAAAGAAAAACACTGGTTTTAGTTCAGCAGTTATGTTCATGTTAGTTGTTAGAGAAGGGAATTTTCTTTATGAATTTTCTGGTTTCTGCTTTATTCAAGAAAAGCTTAAGCCAATCAGTGACACAGTGACAGAATATCGTAAATATATTATCATAGTATGAATGCAATTTTTTGCTATGCAGAAAATATTGTGGTTAATCTATTCCAAATAATTTGTTTTGTCATTAAGATGGTCAGTCTGCTGGATGGAGTTGCACAGCAGTGGATGTCCACACCTGTCACAGACTGTGCCGAGTTACAGAAATCACTGAAAATGTAAAGAAAATGTTCAATATTTGCCAACAATCCCACCATGACATAACTTTCTAATATTGTGCAGCCATAACAGCAAACTATTTTACAGGTGGAAAATGGAAAAATTAAATCTACTCACTTTGGGTCTATAGAAAACTCATCTAAATGTTTTTTGGGGGGATTCAAAGCATTAATCTTCTGGAGTTACACTGCAAAAACACCAAATCTTACCAAGTATTTTTAGTCTATTTTCTACTGCAAATATTTTATAAGACGTGAAATAAGACAAAACTAACTTAAAGGTATGTTTTCAGCAACATATAGGAGTTTGTTTTAAGTAAATAATTCCTCAATATTGATGAAAAAGTTCTAGTTTTATAGGCAGATACATTTACATTAAAAAGACAGTTTCTCCATGTTTTAAGTAAAATAACCTGCCAATGCAACTAGAACTTTTTCATCAATAATAAGGAAATAATTACTTAAAGCAAGCTTCTATATCTTGCTGATAAATAAGTTGCTTTTGAGTTATTTTTGTTTTAATTCAAGTGTACTTTGTTGTAGTGTAGACTTTTAGATCTTAGATTTTTTTTTCCACTAATAAAAAATTACAACTTTTGTGCTTCTGCGACTTCTTCTGACATTTTTTATTCATAACATTTTAATTACTTGCAGTGAACTTGTGCAAAAATCGGCACAGCACTGAAACCTCCTTGCTACAGCGTCAGGCTGTTCTTGTGGCCCGGAAACTGTCGGCTAAAGCCATTGAGCCTTTGCTGATGTCCCAGCAGCGGATCGTTGTTGTCCTGTGAGGGTCGGGATGAAGCGTATTTTAAACAGAGTTGTTTTTCTAGTAAATACCAAAACAGCTGAATTAGTTTCAGATCAACTTTTGATCAAAATGTTTTATCCTGCTGGAAAAGGAACCTGGCATTAGGGAATATGTGTGTCCTGCGTGAGAGACTTCCTATGTTCAGGGTTGAGGTTTTGAAGTCTCAGGATTTTATATTTTAAAGCCAGAACTATGCCTAATAGATCTCACTGGCTCTGAATGCTAAGATGCTTTCAGCAATGAAAAGGACCAGCTTGGGAACCGGGCTGCAGCTATTGGGAAAAACAGGATTTGACCACCTGGGGACGTTTTCGCTCCAGCTGTCCTTCTTTGACCACTTTTTGGCACCAACTGCTGCATACCAGAGGCAATAAATCCTGCTGTCTGGGAACCCTCTCACCCAATTACCCCTCGGATGTGGTCACTTCAGAAAGTCGCCGTTTTCTTCTTTCTAAAGCTGCAGCTTCAGGGAATACAGAAATGGCTCACCAGGCACAACATCAACCCTTTTCCAGATGCATTTAAGTCTCCAGATCTCAATTTTATGGAGAACCTGTGGGGTGAGCTGAAAGGAAGACGACATAAGAGAGAACCCAGAACTCTAAATATTTTAGGGCTGCTATACTCAGCTGGCGGGTCGGCATCAAAATATGCATCCAGACTCCTTTTCAGTGGATTGTGGGCTTTTGGCAAAACCAAAAAAAAAATAAAAAATTAAATTAAATAATCAGTTATTATTCTTAGCAGAAGGTGGCGATAAGGCCCTGTAATGCAAGTTGATATTTGGTGTTTCACACCACAGAAGAAGATCCATAATATTTGTCTGCAAGTCATAATTAAGCTTGGCAAAAAGCAGGATATACATGGTATGGACATTCTGACTTTTTTACTGAATATATTTTTTTATGAAATCACAAACTAGATGTGTTGGAAATGTTGCTACTGATTGTTATGCCAGCTTTATAATAAGTGTTCAATAAAGTGACTAAAATGACTTAATTTTTGTATATTTGGTAGTTAGCTAAAGCTGTATTTTATTTTTCAGAAATTATTATTTTTGCACAAAGCACAGTTGAGTCTATCATAAAAAACAAAAATCTCTGAGGTGTTTTTGTTTTCTTTAAAATGCAGCTAATTAAAATAAAAGGTCATATTTTCCTGTCAAGCAGGTGGTTTCAGTTTTCTTCAAGCTAGTTTTTTGTTGTTGTTGTTGTAATATATTATTGTACCATCATCTCAGGTTCAAACTGCATCAGATTTTTGCTCAATGAAATTGAGAATTGAAAGATTTCCTAAATTAGGCACCAAAGCTTTACTGGTTAAATAAAAACAATTCTGTCGCATTAAGGGATTTTTTTTTCCAACCTGAACGAATGCACACAAATTATATATATAAAAAATAAAATTTCAAAACATTTCTATGTGAATATGATCCTACTGCTGTAAAAGTTTACACGTTTTGACACATCTTTGCCTGAAGTGCCAACACATTAATCTCTAAATGACATATTTCAGTAGTTAGCCCGAGTTATTTTTTTATAGGAGCCCATATGTAATTCCATTAAATCACCAGCAGGGGGGAGATTTAGTCCTTCTCAATAGAACAGCAATGTCCACAGTGGGTTCTCCATATGAGAGCATCTAAACAATATAACACTAAAATGTGTGTGTAGTAATTTGGACAAATAAAAGCAGTTTCTGAGTACAAGTGAGCCAAACAGACAAATAAAGTCAAACACTGAGATGTCACCTTTTGATAAAAAAGAAAAGAAAAGCATGCATACTGAGTCAAAGCTCACTCACTCAAGGTCTGCAGCACTGTCGATTTTCATGAAGTCCTGTTTGGCACGCAGTAAGATCTCTGGCTCAAGCCTTGGGGTGATATGCAGAGGCGCAGGATAGTGTGGGCAAGGCAGGGGCAGATGGGCATCAGAGGCAGCGGGAAGAAATTAAGCAAACAGAAGGAGAGACACTGAATACAAGCACAGGCGCCCACTCCAACAGGCACTCTCACTCACACAGCTACACATCCACATCAACACAAAGAGTTTTAACACCAGTTAGTGATGGTAAACCCCGATTGGTAAACAGGAACAAGTCACATATTCCTCCTGCCTCCCCATGATTGGCTTAGTAGCGCAGTTAGCATCGTCCCAGGCAGCTGAGACAGAAACCACCTCCTTCCTAGAGCTGGCAAAGAATAAGCTGTACCACTGGAACAGGTGCCAAATGTTGGCTGATTGCTGGGATTAGTTAACCCACAAAACTAGCATGTCGGAAAATGACAAGCAACGTGTGCATGGGTGAGAGCGACACTGTGTGTAAGAGCGAGGTGCAGGAAGAGGGGGCAGCTGCCTCTGACAGTCTGAGTTCATGTAAACAGTTGATTTAGCTGACGTTGTGCGTGGAGTTTGTTTGCATTTCCTCACTTAATGTCCTGACTGATTTGCCTCTCCAGGCGGAGCCGCCGCTCCTCCAGCTGCTCGATGGGGCTGTCCTCCGGGAACTCGTAGGGGGCGCTCCGCATCTCGCTCTCCGCCATGCTGCGTGTGAACAGCTCCTGGTTCAAACACGGGAAGTTGTAAAATTTATGGCGTCATAAACAGGAGATCATGTAAATATTAATGTACGCAGGGTGCATAAGAGCGACAGCAGGGTTTGCACAAACACTGTACCATCTGTTACATTTACAGATTAATAATCCCTGATATTTTTTTCACATAGGAATCAAGAACTTCCATGTATTTTCTAGCTATTTCATATAACAGACCAATACATTTTGAGGAAAACATGGCTTTGAATATGTTTTGCTGATAAATGTAAAAAGTGAGGAAAACATTTTCATTCAGTCCTCTGCTCTGCTACCCCTAAATAAAACCTAGACGGCTCAAATAATCCAACGAGTGGGAAGAAGAAAACCATTGCTAAAACAAACAAAGCCATATGAGGCGCTGGTTTGCAGCTTATCACAAACCATGTAGCGCAGGAAGATATTCTGCTCAGTCAGGATCAGATTGCACTTATTTGGCCTCTTTAAACAATACCATGTAAACACACAGCTCCCATGATGAAATACTGCGGTGGCGCTATCGTGTTCTGAAAGGTTTTTTTTTTTTTTTTTTTACAACAATGATAAGAAAGGCGAGTCAATGGGATAAAGCTAAAAAGAGGAGGACAATGTTTAGCCTTGTGGCAGAAAATCAACACTAACCAGCAAGAGATACAAATAAAATGGTTTCCATTAAATCCTGAGCATGTGTCAAATTAGCTCAGAGGTTCCCAAACTGTGGGGCGCGCCCCCTAGGGCGGGCGCCATGCCATTGCAGGGGGGACGTGGGAAGCCTGGATGGGTGAAAAAAAACAACCCCCAAAAAAACCATGATCACTGTATGCACTGGGTTTTTACCTTAGAATGGCCAACTCTCTGTTATTCCTATGTCAATTTGATACAGTAGAGGCTTCCACACTTCCCATATCTGTGACCTCTGTCACTTTTATCAGCAGTTAAAACTGTTTAATCCGTTGTTAACATGTTGTAACCTGTTTTTCCGAGCCGCCTTTAAACGCAACACAAGTGCTACGACGCTCGCGCTGGGTTTCCACCTGTGAAGGAGACCTGCTGCTGCTGTGCGGAGCTACGTAGGTTTGTGTTAGAATCACGGCAGCAAACCAGCAAAATGCAAAGAACTTTTCACAGTTTTTCCCTCCAAACTAACCAACTGAGTTGAGTAAAGCTGTTGGATGCAGGTAATGTTAGCTAAAAGATGACTAGCTAATATCAATACAGAACCTTAAGCTTAACAAGTAGCCTGTAGATACTGATGTTGTTGTCTATGTCCAGCTATGTACATTCATTTTGCCCCCAAAAGGAGTCGATTTCCCCCCACCCTGCTCATTCTTAGAGACAGGGAGTCTCTAAGAATCCTCTTCCCCACCCCTCACAAACGTCGTTCAACCAGACAGCTATTTGTAATCCAAAGGGGGGACCCAGAAAATGTTTGGAAATCACTGGGGGGGGGGGCAGGAGAAAACGTTTGGGAACCACTGAAGTAGCCCAAAGTTCAGATCTCCAACTGGAAATCATTGCAGAAACCTGACACCTAAAAGACGATTTCTGTCCAATCTGACTGAGCTGGAGTTGTTTCTCAAAGAAAAGTTTTAGTCTCCAGATGGTGGAAAAAATACCCCCAAAAGAAGCTACAATTGAAATTCAGTTACTCTCATGGAGCTAAAATCCCAATAAAATGCTCTGAGGTTTCAGGTTTTAACAAGATGTGAAAAGATAAGATAAATAAATAAGTTTATAGTGCACTACTCTCTCAGACTGTCTCCTTAACAGAGCAGCTGTTTTATTTATTATGCATCGTTTTTAAATGCAGAGGATTAAAGTTCAATCGTTGACTGGATGGTGTATTCTTTAATTGTGTTTTTATTTTGTAAAGCACCTTGAATCGCCTTTCTGCTGAAAGGTGTTATACAAATAAACTTCACTGATAGATTAAAGAGTCTAAATTTACCTGCACCTCTTTTAAAATAACACAAACTAAAACTGCTCAATTTAATAAATATGCAGCTCTGGAAAAAACTAAGAGTCCACTGCAGTGAACCCAACGGAAAACCTCCTGGTTTTTCCACCAAACATTGATTTCTGAACTCTTCCTGAGTTAAAACATTAGTTTTGTTGTTTCTAAATTAATATAAACTTGTTTTCTTTGCATTATTTGGTTATGTTTCTCATTTTCTGTAAATAAACATAAAATTTTTGCTTGTTGCATCAGAGACATGTCAGAAGTTCATAGAATAAAAGAACAATGTTCATTTTACTCAAACATTTACCTATAAAAAAGAAGCAAAAACAGAGAAACTGATCATTTTGTAATGGTTTCTTAATTTTTTTCAGGGTTAAAATCTTAATATCACCTCAGCAAGCTCTTTGTACTTTTCCTCCATGGATGTTCGCAGGTCGACTGGGTACTGAGAGAGAGAAACTGGCGTCCCAGGGAGGGATCTCTGGGGCTTCAGGGTCTTGGGTCCCGACACGCCACACAGATCTGAAACAGTACACAGAAAGAGTGAAACTTTAGTTAAAAATACAGTTTTAACTAAATATTCTGTGGAGTAAATTTGAAAACTGCAACTACTTAAAACACGTCTTCATCCAACATGATTTAAAGATGTATCATGACTGAAAAATGAACATGTGTCTTAAAGAAATTAGCTAATTACATTAAATCATATCAATAATGCAAGATAAAAAATACTATAATACTGTCTTTTGCTAAAGACAGTATTATAATTAAGTCTTTGGAGTAGAAAGAAAAGCAGAAATCTATTAGAGTTACAACTTGTGCTGCTGTGTCGCAAAAAAAAGACCTCCGTCTACTTATTTCTGCACAGATTTAGTTATCTAAATCTTTGTTTTTTTATTTAGACTTGTGGTATATAAACCACATTTAAATTTAAAACAAGTGTATAGAAGACTAAGACGCAGAAGTCAGCAGAGGTTTGGAGAAATCCTGTGTGGTCCTTGCGCTGACATACATTTTAACACAGATTAACTCTGCCTGATACATTTATAATACTGAACTGAACTGGCACCCAGTACAAAGAAAACAGTTTACAGGTATTTTTAGTCTGTTGACAGCAAAGACCTGTAGCCAAACAAGTGAAAGCAGGAACATAAACTGGAGGTATAAATAGAGAGAAATTGCAGTTTGGTTTGCCAAAGATTACAGCGTCTGGAGTTTTAAGTGGAGAAAAATTATTTTAGCAGAGCCGAGTTTGGTTCAGACACCACAGATTCGTCTCAAGTGGCAATTTAAAAAGTTCACATCTTAAAAGCTGGGAACAGTGGGGTTGTTTAGTGAAATGGTGTATGGAACTGAAAATGGTTATAAATGCAAACACAGCACTCAATATTACGCAACATTTTTTTAAAAAAAAAACTCCCTTTGTTCTCAACTTCCAGTCTGTAGAACCGCAACTTATTTTTTAATCAAAGAGATGTGAATCAAACTTCCAGCATTTTTTTTCTTACCCACATGTAGTTCCTGACATGCCTGAGTGTGGAAAAGGGCAAAAATTTCCATTTACACTCCAGAAATCCACACCGTTAAGAGTTAGTTTCTGACTAAAGTGATGCATTTCAAAAGACAGGAGCGCCATGGTTAACTGGACAAACACGGTAATTCACGGTAATTCACTCAAGTCTCTGGATTTTGGAGTGGCACGCTATCGTTTCTCCATAATTGGAGCAATTATTGGTGCCATGCCTGGGCAGCGACAATTAGTTTGTGCCATCTGCTGTCTGCCACTGAAGCGGTGGAGCTAGGAGTGAGTAAAGGGGATCTTCATTGTCCACAGTATATTAATGTGGTGTTTTAATATGAATGCAGAAGGGACCAGTAACAATTTCAAAATGAGCTACGGTGCTAGCAAAAAGTACTGAGGTGAAACTCAAGGCTGTTGCTCTCCATCTGAAAATGTTACGATGGCGTAAATGTGAAGAACTGAAGCGCATTTTAAATCTGCTTCTCTTTAAACTTCAGAAAAACACCAGGAAATTAAATAATACTGCTACAGGGGTATGAAAGCCCGCTAGAAAAATGCACGTCACTTTGAATAATACTGTAATTTTGAGACCAAATCATAAAATTGTTCAGACAAACGTTATTCAAATTTCTGGAATTACAAGGTAAAATAACAGAGACAGTGAGTGTTTAGCTTATATGCACATTTTTAAAGAAGAAATAATGTTCAACGCTACAAAGTGAACAACATCAAAAAGGGAATTGCAGCTTAGATTTCCCCAGAATTACTAGAAAACATATCAGGGCTCTAACGTCCAATATAAACCTTACAGAAAAACAAGAGAATTTGCACATACTAAAAAAATATATTAGATAATCTTAATTTATGACTTAGGGCTTCTCTTTGGAGACTTTTTAAAGACAGTATGGAAGACATACTGACAGAGCACCTTTCATACTTTACATAATGCTTAATCTTGCTTGTTTTATTGCATTTCAGTGAATCTTTGCACAGCCCTACGGTTTGCTCTCTCGGTTTGCTCCTGGCGTGATGTTTACTGCAAGTGTTTCTGCCTATTTAGAAGAAAATACCACAGCCATTCCTCACTGTGACAAAATCATGATGCAAATAGGTAGCACTGACAATAGTGTCCATCCTGGTGTCACATTCCTGACGCTCTGCACGCTGACATGCCCTCATTAAATTTCCCTGCAGCTGGTTCTGCTCTTCAAGGACTTTGTGCAATCCTTTTCTTCTGCAGATGCAAAATCAAAGATGTTGCCAATTCAAATTTTACCTTCTTTAACCACAATAACGTTGAGTTTAATGTCGTGTTTAGAGCAGAATTGTGCAAATTTTGACTTTTACTTCCATAAATCTATTTTGAAGTCAGACATTTACAACAATAGTTTCAAATCGGTTTAGTCATATTGTGCAGGATTTTGGACGAGTTTCCATCAGTTTTATCTTTCTAATTTCTTAACATGATAATGAACCAAACACACAGGGTGTTCCTATTTGAAAGTCCTCTGCAGTGGTTTACAAAAACAACTACCAAGGTTTGTTTGAATTTGACTGATGGAGCCTTGATTTGCTTCGTTTGCATGCAGCTCAGCTCTTTGCACTTTTTAATCCAACCTTTTCTAAAAGTACATCCTGTTTGGCTCGCAGATAATCATCTGAGGTATAACTAACTGAGGTATTTGTTAAAATATTTTTTAAAAACTGTCACAGCCAAATGGTTACAATTCAAGGTCTTTCCCACACAATCAAATTAATTTCAACTTTACTGCTTCTTGTAAATACCTTTCTGACAAAGGCCCTGTGTTGGTGGACTCTACAGATTTTTAAAAACAAACTGAGGTGATTAAAAGCTAAGCTGAAGGCTGAATCCCATTTTCCAGGGTTACCCCCCCTTACATCCTTTGCCACATAATTGAGGAAATGGTTGCAAGATCCCACAGAGAAACGGGACACTCCTTCAAAAAGCTGCTACTTCATCAATTCTCACGCTGTTTGCATGCAATTATGCATAACTTAATATGCCTTTAAAGGTCACAAAAACATAAAGATCGTGTGATTTAACCTTTAGCAGATATCAGGGTACAATTTTTTTAAATTAGAAAAATTAATATAATAGAAAAACCCTAAAATGTAATTAACTAATTCCAAACATTTACGCTGTTTTTATACTTATTTACAATAATAAATTGTGACACCAGAAACACTACTTTAGTTGAGGGGTGAGAAGCGAGTTAGAGGACAAAGAGTGAGGATTTGGGATGAAATGGGTCTCAGGCTACAACTATTAGCTAAACTTTTATAAACTAAATGCATATTTCTGTGCAGAAAAGGTTTCATTTTGATTCAATTAAGCTTCTTAAATGATGTTTTTCTTTTATAACCCAAACAAAAGACTATTGAGGATCATCCATTACATCTGAGTGGTTTAATGAGTGCATGGTTAGTTCCTGTTTTGAAAAAAAAAAAAAATACAGTTTCAGGACATAAATTACGATAATAAGTTGCTACACCACATAACTAGTTTTGTTTTTGATACGTGTATTATTTAGTTATGCAAGCTGAAGTCATTTAATCAGTTTAAATCATCAGTACAATAATTGAGAGAAACAAATTAAATGAAGGCTGCCGGATCTGATGTGCTGCTGAACTGGACGGGATAAAAGGACATTGAGAAACGTCAAAAAATAAAAATAAAAACCTCTGTAGCGTGTGTATGGAGTCAGAGCCCCAAACTAATTTATTTTGGTTTGGTGAGAGAGACTCCAATAAAAGTTTTTGTAAGTATTTACAGACTTTAGTCATGAGAGGCAGAATGAGGACACGCGCTTCAGGTGTTCCTTAGCAACCACCGCTCGCTGAGAATAAACCTCTGTTTTGCATCCACGTCTTGAACGCATCATCAATTTTCATCATTAAGATGAAAAAAAAAGATTAGACTCACTTTCTAACCTGCTAGAGCATAAATTTATCACTTTACATAAAAAATAATATATTAAACTCTGCACAAGGGAAAAGTATTTTAGTACGAAAGGAAAAATTAATAGGCTAATTGTTCCTTTAGATGAGATAAACATATGAGACAGATGGCAGCTCGTTAACTCAACACCATCAGAAGCAGGAGGAAGGTCAGTGTGTTCAGGTGGACTGAAAAGTGAGAGCTCAGCGGCACACAGTGTTTCCTACAGGCTGGCTGAGGGGCGAAGTGGTAATGAAGACACGAGTTTCAGTTTCAGACACAACGGCGCAGCCTGCCTTTCTGGTTTGATTCAGGACTCCTGAAGTCTTGAATGTTTAGATCCTACAAATGTTGCAGGATGAAAAATTGCCTCAGAAATCTTTGCGATAAACGGTGGATGTAATCGTTTTGAGACCGTTTTCATAATGGCACAATGACGCAAGTTCACCCTGTCAGAGACACTTTCATTTAGTGAAGAACAAAATAACAAAAACTATACATAAAAATAAATAAAAACCAAACAAAACCAAAACATTAAATAAAATTCATTATAAAGTCATGCAAAAAATGTTAATCATCAGAATGGAAATTATTGAGGTCATTTTAATGCACCTACAAACATTCACCAACTACACTTTATATAAAGATCAAATTTACGGAACCACATCAGTGTGATAATGCTGGCTTTGTTCTTTCACTTCTCTGTCTCTTTAGCTCTTCTTCCAGGTTTCTGAGTGCTGCCGTCTTATCCCAACACACAGCCACTCTTTCTGGACCCTCATCTGTCACCACAAGCTTGTCAGTGCAACATTTTTAAACGATAAGCACCCACGCCGCACAGTGAACTGCTAAAACTCCTGCTAACACAAGAGTCACAACAGCAAGCGCTTCATTACAAAAGGTACTGTTTATGATTGTTGATTGTGAGCTACAGTACCTTTATCTGCCTGTCTTGTCCTGAACTCACAGTCTCCGTTGTGGCAGCAGTGGCCTTGTTTGAGCTCTTGCGCGATGCTGGGACATGTAACTAGGCCTGGGACG